TAATTGCAATGCATGCATGCATAAATTACATGCATTGATCAATTTTCTCTTAATACTTGCATGCAATGATTTAATGCACCTTAGAATCTGAACATGTGATAAGAAACAACCAAATTAAGCCTTATAAAATGGAAAAACTAAAATTTTGAGATAAGCCCTATAAACCGAAAAGGAGGGAGTATTATACTTGCTCTCAACTCACACTACTGCGCGCAGTTAATCACGGAGGACGAGGGATCTTTTTTGTGCGGCGCGTGAGTGCGTCTGATCAGGTCCAATCAAGGCGGGAGGCGGCGATCATGCTTCATCTGCCGGCCGGCCGGCCAGAATCAATGCACCGGCCAGTCATCTACTGTTACCTATAGCTGTTGTCCGCACGCCTGACAACAGAAGGCACCACTCTCGATTTTTTCCCTGCCTTCTTTTGATCCGAACCTGGACCCCGAACAAGTTCTTTTGGCATAAGATCGGATTGCGCGCGCAATGGAGGCCTCAAGGACCTGCTGAGCGGCACTGGTCCAGGTGAAAGTGAATCTGTGACTTGGATAAAATAAAACCAATTTCTGACAAATAAAAGGGGAGCTAATATGCTCTGTAGTACCATCATATACTCCCATGACCAATTTCTGACAAATAAAATCAATGCACCGCCCGTCATCTACTCCTATGACAAATTAAAGAGCAGAGAGAGAAATAGTGTAACATAATATGTTACCATCATATAGCGATTTTTAATGAAATATCACTCTACAAAATAATAAGTGAAGTTCTCTGTGTCCATAAACTGGACTGCTCATTCAGGCTTGGAACAACAGCTGCTTTCTCCTGCATTCAGGCGAGATGACGAGAGAAAAGTATCTCATGCATGCTGCTCACGGGTTAGTGAGTGGACTGAGCATATGTAATTTATTTTTTTGCTTTTGGGCAGGACGGACCATGGCACACTTTTGCCCCCACTGTGGTTATGCACATGACAAGACAATTCATTTTTCATGATCCAAATTAGTACATATTCTACAAAGCTAAATTCAATGCAATATAAATTTTTTGCAGGAAACTCAATCAATCGATTGGGAAGTTGCCGTTACAGGCCATGTGGACATTAATGTCTTAAATGTCGTGTTTAATCACTAGCTAGTACTACTTGATTGTGCACATGAAACCAACTGCGGTCTACTACAAAGGACGATAGTACATATAATTAAATCAAGGGCCCATACTTTCAACACTAAGGACCAAAGGAGGAACTGTAACTGACATGACGCGGCGTTCATGTTCATTGTTCAGTGTATGCACTAAGAGCATCTCCAACGGCCGCGCGAAACACGTGGCGCGCACGGTAAACGCAGCATTTAGCGCGCGCGGGACGTTTTGCCGCGCTCCGGCGGCGGCGGGAAAACCGCGCGCACGAAAAGGCGCCAGCTCGCGCGCTATTTTTTGCGCGCCGCTTTCGGCGCGTCTATAAAGTGCGGCGCACGCCACGCGTCTGTCCACGCCTTCTCTTCTCCTTTTCCCCTCTCTCTCTGCCACGCGCCGCTCCAGCGCCCCGTCACTGACGCGCCTCCGCCGCCCCAGCGCCCAGCCACCGCCGCGCCGCCGAGGAGCGTCCCGCTACCGCGGCGTCCGCCTGCGCCCCAGCAGCGGCTACTACGCGGAGATACGCTCCGGCGATCTCCGGCTCGGCCTCGGCATGTACGGGACGGCGCGCGAGGCCGGCTGCGCGTACGACGCGGCGGCGTGGCGCCTAGGCCGGCCGTGCGGCCAGATGAACTTCCAGGATGTCTACACGCCCAGCAAGCGCTCGACCGTGCCCCGCCGCCGCGTCTGAACACAGCACAAGACTGTGCGGAGCACGCCGAGCGGCAGCGCCGCCTCCTCGTCGCCCAGAAGGACGAGCGGGTCATGGCGGAGTGGCGCCACCGCCACCCGAAGGACGTCGCCTACGAGTAGGCCTACTGGGCAAGGTGTCGCGAGGAGGATACGCGAAAGCGCCGCGAGGCGTGGTTGGACAGGCGTCGACGCAAGGCGTTGGCGAACGTGCAGTCCAATCTCGTTGAAGCAGATGGGCAGTCGTTCTTCACGCCGAACGATGATCGGTGGTTGGACATCTGGCTGGATACCTCGAACGACACCGCCGAGGAGGATGATGATAATGATGATACCTAAGAGCATGTTCGGAAGTCCTCCGCGTCGCTCAACTCCACAGCTTCTCAGCCGCGCTCCAAACTCCACCTGTAGCGAGAAGCTAGCAGTTCTGTATGTGCTTCCAGCTCCTCTCCACGCTAGGCGGGCTGGCAGACTGCTTGGACGGTCAAAAGCCCATCTAACTCAAGAGGAAAAGAGGCCTTAGGCCTACTCGGGAGAGGAGGAGAGAGACTGGACTTGGCCCAGTTTGGAGGTGAGCGTCAGGATGCGTTCACGTTGCCTGATCCAACGATCGAGAGGACGGCGGGCGACATAAGAATCGGGATCGCACGAACCGTTACCAGAACTCACTTGGCGGTGGCATCACGCGTAATTTGACGAACTCCGCGTTTCTGAGGATTCCGCGAAGCTGCGAAATCCCAGCTTCTTTTACTCCACCAAATCGCACTACGGCTCGGTACAGCTTCCAGAAACTGGCTCCACGAAGCTAAGAGTGTTCGGCCTAACTTCTCGCGAGAAGTTTGCCGAGTGTGGAGCGTGGAGGACTTCAGAACACGCCCTTAGAGTAGTTTTTTTTTAATAGAATCTATCTCGTCTTTTATCGTTTGTCGTTTTTAATTATTATGCAATCTATATTTCGGACGTAAAATACCTTTGTATCGTTTTAAAATCTATGTAATTTATCTATTTTTCAATAGCCTAGAATGAGCGCGCGCGCTGCTGGAACGGTGCGCGCGCGCTGCATTTTAGCGCGGCTGCTGGAACAGGCGCAGCGCGCCGCGCCAAACCAGCTGATGCACGTGCGGCATATGTGTTTTTTACGCACAGCACGACCGGCGCCTGTTGAAGATGCTCTAACAAAATGTTAGGTCATGAATCGTCTACTGCTGGCTGGTTCCAGATAATTTGTTCCGGAAAGAACACAGGCAGATTCCTGGTGTGGTTTCTTCACGAATCATCAAAGTGATAAATAGTAACCTGTGCTGGCTCCAAATATACTAGTAACTGGCACGTGCCGTGCATGTGTTGTGAAACTCATATTTGAAGGGACGTATGCCAATTTTTTTATTTATTAACTTGTTTTTTAACTAAAATGAATACACACATATACATAGAATGATAATAAGTTTGCTAATTTCACACAGTTTCTAAAAAAGGGTGTACACACATGTGTGTGTGTGTGTGTGTAACATAGCTATCGTTATTAAAATTATGATGAACCTATTCATGGAAATCATTAATTATTGTAAATAAAATAAAAAAATTGTAACAGTGCATTATTTGTTTTTGACATTAATCCCTCTAATCTTTTTCTTGATAGTACGATTTAATGAGTTATAGAGTAAGTATTGTAGAGAGATACGTCCCTTATTTATCACTAGAAAACAGTTTGATCAATTTTTATACTGAAACATTGTTGACAGAAACAAAGAGAAAATCATGTCACAAAATTTGTAAAACAATCTGTGAGTAAATGTAAAAGACATTTAGTTATAATTCATTCATACCCCCTTTCTCTCTCTCCCTCCCTCCCTCCCCCCCTCCCTCCCTCTCAGGTCCTACACTAAGCAACGAACAGAGTACCTTTCTCTC